GTCCACATGTTATTTGTGTAATAAAAAGGATGGAATTAATCTGTACAACTATTATCATGTTCACTTGAAGGAAAATCACTTATAGATACACACATATATTTATAGAAAAAATTAGGAAGAAAACACATTAGTGTTTTCATTGTAATTGTAAATGTGTAATAAGCTGTAAAAACACTTTTCTGAATTTTCTACATTTTCAACATACAATCATTTAATAATTCCACAAAATAAAGCTTTTAAAAATCTTATCTTGAATTAAGTATAGATTCACAGAAAGATGTAAAGAAATATACGGGGAAGATCCTGTTTCCTTCACCCTATGTCCCCAATGTGAACATTTCAAACAACTTAAGTCCACTGTCAGAACCAGAAACAGAGTGTCCGAAACACAGGAGGTTAGAGCCTCCACTGACCTTATGCACGTCCTCTTAAAGCAATGCCAACGCTTTCAGGAAACAGAGGAGGGGGTTACTGTTGAGTTTGAGGTGAACTGAAATCCCCAGGTCTTTTTCCTCATTAAACTGCTGCAGAGCCAAAGCTATCTGGTTTCTTGCCTATTTAATTATTTTTAAAGTCATATTCTAACATGTGATATTTATCCTTATCACAGTTTAATCCATTGTCCCAGCTTGAACCTTGACCCATTGGCTTAGCAGATTTTCTCCGTTTGTGCCAGCTGCTGTTCTGTTGTTGATGGAAATCCAGATTCCGATCTAACCGAGAGCAGAGCCCAAGGTCTGTTAATAAAGGCAGCCTCTGAGTTGAGATGAGATGATTCACTGAATCAATGTTCTTGCCTATTGTTCAACTCATGAGAGTCTGCTTACTTCTGTTTTTTTTTTCTTTTTTCCCTCCATCTTGTCTTCTGAGACATTCGTTGATACATCACCTAGTAACTATCACAGAAAAACTGGAAATCAGTTTGGAATTCATTTTGAAATCAGGCCTGACATTGTTGGTGAGCTGAACTCCTAGATAAGATAGTTTTCCACATCCTTATAGGCACCAACTTGATACTCCCCTCTTTTAAGTTTTACTGTGCATTTCCATCTCTCAATGATTCGGTACTTACCAGAGTCATTGTCATTTCCTTATGAAAATAGGACACTCTATCTATCTCTGTTTATCTAGAACTTTTCTTCTTCTCAATGTTTTTAGAGTACTTAGAAGTGTGTTTCTGTGATAAGATCTACAAATTCTTTTAACATCCAAGTTCACAGGTAATTCGTCTCACTCAGAGATCTGATTTATTTACAGGTAGCCAGGTACATCCTTACAACTGCCACCTATTTGGGCTCTCTAGTTCTTTGAGATCTTTATTTTACTTTCTCTAACTTGAAGATTTTTGTCTTCGGTAGAGAAGATAGATGCAAAATAGGAATTGAGTTTATAACCTACTAGTGTACTTTTCAAAATAATCTTTATGTGATATTGTGATTGCACAAAGATACACGTGATAAATTTATACAGAGCCACGCGCATACACACGAGTCCATGTATAGCTGGTACCAGTGTCAGTTTCCTGGTTTGTTTTTTTTTAAAGATTTTATTTATTTGTTTTTAGATAAGGGAACGGAGGGAGAAACAGAGGGAGAGAAACATCAATGTGTGGTTACCTCTCAAGCACCCCCCCTACTGGGGACCTGGCCTGCAACCCAGGCATGTGCCCTAACTGGGAATCGAACCGGCGACCCTTTGGTACTCACGCCACTGAGCCACACCAGCCAGGGCAGTTTCGTGGTTTTGACAGTAGACTTAAGTTATCTGAAATGTTCACATTAGGGATGTAGGATGAGGATGAGCAACCATAACACTCCTCCACTGCTCAGAGGAGCACACCATGGTACAACCTCTTAGGAAAACAGATTCCTTGTTTCTTTAAAAGTTAAACATGCTTACATATGACTCAGCTGCTGCTCTTCCAGCTATTTATCCAAGGGAAATAAAAATAAATGCCACCCAAGAGACTTTCACATAAAGAGACTTTCACGTAAATATTCACAGTAGCCAACAGCCATAAACATCCCAAATGTTAAAAAAAACAAATGGATAACAAAATATTGCACCTTCCTGTGACAGAGCACTGTCGGCAATAAAAAGGAGTGCACGACTGACTCAACACGTGGATGGGTCTCAAACATACCACAGAGCCAAAGAAGCCGGGCACAGAAAAATACGCACTTTATGATGCCATTTATTTAGAGCACAAGACCAGAAAACACTAATCTGATGACAGACATCAGACATGGCTGCCTGTGGGAGGTGGGGCCTGAGCAGAAGGGAGGAAGAGGGACGCTCCTGAGGTGACAACCACGTTCTGCATCTTGATTCATGTGGCAGTGACAGGGGTCTCTAAACTTACCAAACTCACTGAGTTGTGTACTCAAGTACTATGCATTTCACTTACTTGTAGATCAATTTTACCTCAATGAAGAAAATCTTTCTTTATGGAACTTCAGAGCAACCAATCTAGAGAGGATGCAGTGTATTTTAAAAAAATGACTTTGAAAACAAGTCACTTGATGATCAACTCCTTGGAAACTCAAAAGAAACTCAAGAGGAAGGGAGAGAAAACCATAATGTTCCTGGCGGAGTCAGGAGTTAAAAAAGTAATCAACACTAAGGGCGGGCAATCACTTGCTGATCCATCCATTCTTGCCATAATATTTAGTGACTAATACTATGCATCAGGCGCTGCCTTGGGAGAGACCAAGCCCTTGCCCTCACTGAGCACATATTCTCTAAGAAGAGATAATAAATAAACAGGGTCCTTATAGGCTGACAAGTGTAACATGGAAGTCCACAAGGATTCGTGATTAGAAGTCAGAAAAAAGGTGGCGAAGACCTAAAATAGTTAAGAGTGACCAGGAAAGCCTTCACTGAAAAAGTGATATTTGAGTCATGTCACAGAACAAAGGGCAGAAGGACAAACACTGCAGGCAGACAAATGAGAGAGTGCAAAGGTCCTGAGGCAGAAGAAGGGCGATGTGTCTGAGGAAATGAAAGACAACCCGTGTAACTGGTGCTCAGTAAGTAGGGAGAGTGGGATGGGTTGGGTTGGAGAGGTGGGTGGAGGCAGGAAGGACTCCGAGTGACAGTCTAAGACAACAGCAAGTCACGGAAGGGCTTCCAGCAGGCAAGTGACACGATCTGCCACAAGGAGGAAGGATTAGAGTACAAGGCTGAGAGCAAGACCAGCTAGGAAACTACTGGAGTGGTGCTGGCGAGGGCTGACGGTGGCAAGGGCCAGGACGCTGTGCCAGAGATGAAGGAAAGGAGGGAAGGGCAACAGAGAAAGGGAGGGGAAGGGCCAAGTCACGGAGCGTGTCTAAAGGACCCAAGGACAAAGCCAAAGCGGGGAAGGGTTGAGGGGCAGAGGTGGGGGTGGGTGGGGCAGGGGAAAGTGGTGGTGGGAAAATGGAGACAAAGGTATCTGAACAATAAAAAAGAAGAAAAAGAAAAAGAAGAAGAAAGGACAGATTTTGGATGTACTGCAGAAGTGAAACTGATACAACTTGCTGATACACTCATGTGAAAAATGAGAAAAAGAAAGGGCAAGCAAGTGGTGGTATCACTTATTAAGATGAGAAATTCAGGGCAGAACAAGTCCAGGGAAGGACCAAGAGTTTCATTTTAAGATGCCTATGAACCCAGCAAGCAGAAATGCCAAGGAAACAGGTTGCTACATGAGCCTGAAGCTCAGGAGAGAGGTCTGGGCAGGAGAAGCAAAGTGTGAAGTCATCTTCCCACAAATGGGGCTGAATCCAGCAGCCCGGAGGAGCTCCCCCAGAACGGGTCTCGGGAAGAGAAGTGGGTCCAGGACCGAGCCCTAGGGCGCCAGCCATACAGAACTCTTGCCACAGGCACAGGAGGCGCAGTGAGGTGCGAAGTAGCAAAAGGACAGCTTCCAGGAGCCACCCCCACTTTCTCCCTGCCCAGAACACCCTCTGCTTACAGAAGGCCCAAACGCATGAGCCAAGGAAGGGTTAGGGGTATGGTGTTCAGAACGAGTCATGCCAAGATGTGCCTCTGTGAGAAACTTCTGCCCCTCCTCCCTCCACTGCCTGGATAACTTGAATTAGAGGCCCTTCCCCTGGGAAGAGATTACCAGATTTAACCTCTTTTGACCTGCCTATGTGCCGGGACAAACTTCTATCTACCGAACACCCGGCTCTTCCTGCAATGGCCTTTTGAAGTCCCCAAGGTGCCTTACCGCCTCCTCCCTAGTTCAGGATGTCTCGTTCACACTGTTTCCTTTCTGTCTCTGACCCTCTCCCGTATGGGGGGGAGGGGAGAGTCTCTGGTTGTCATGCATGCGGGGTTCCCATACACACGTATGCATTCCATTTGGTCATTTTTCTCTTGCTAATCTGCCTCATGCTTATTTGATTGTCACACCTGCAGAAGGACCCTGAGGATGCAGGGAAGGAAAGGTCCTCCTTCCCTGATAGGGGTGGCACATTGGCCCAACGTTGCTGAAAGATGCCATGAGAGGAGCAAACAGGAAGTCAACGGCGTTGACTCTAGAACACAGAGTGATGTGAACCAAGTCGGGGCACCTCCCTTTGGATGGGCGTCAAGATGGTCACTAACTGGTAGTGCAGCCCCAACCCCACGATCACTCACTCGGCCACAACAGACCCCATGACCCATGCATTTGCGTTGCTGTCAAACCTCACTGAGGTCTTCCCATCACTGGCTCCTGAAGTGCCAGGCCTGCCAGGCCAGCGAGGCCCCGGTCACAACGGAGGTGTGAGGGGGCTCCACTGCCTGGCTGCGGGATTCCGGCCGCATCCCCACCTGAACCGCGGCCACCCTTGGGAAGGGAGAGCACTCAGCCACTGCCCAGCCCTCGCCCCCGGGGGTCCTGCCGGCTCCCCATCTACTGGTCCTGCGCCTCGGCCGCCACACCTGTTTTCATCCTCTCGGTTCACAGCAGTGCTCAGCAAACTTTTGCTCCCTTCTACTGAGAGGAAATAAAGAAATTGGCACAGACTCACCAGGAACAGTTAGCACAGATGGGGATTTTTCGGACCTTTCGCTCACACGGCTGCTGTTTTGAATCCAGAAAATGTTGACGGGCTCTGGTGGGCCCACGGCCTGACAGGTGAGGTTGAAGGCAGTGTTTCTTGTGACGTTCATGCTCTCAGGTTGCCTTGTAAAGTGAGGAAGTCCTGCAGAGAAAGAGTTCATGGAAGGAGTGTTTCCAATCCACAAGCAAAGGCAGAGCCCTAAGGGGAATGGAAATTACGAGAACTGGGCCACAGAGGTTCCTTCTATATCATTTCAGGTCTGAAACTCCAGTTCTCACCTGAAAGTTGGGTAAGAAAGAAAACAGGCTAACCTCCAAAGTCTAGTGCCAGCTGACTTTCTAGGACACTTCCCCAAAGAGCTTGTAACGTGACTCAGAACTGGTTTGACCAGCAGGGAGGCCTGGCTGTTTTGAAATCAGGCCTTGCTCATATTCCTGGGGCAGGCTGGCAGGTTTTCAGGATTCCTCCCCAGAATAAACAAGAGTGAAAAACCAAGCCACGCAATAAGTCTCCTGCTTTTGAGGACAATCTATTGTGTGTGAGGCTTTGAGATAGGTGACATGAATTGTAAGGTCTGTGTACATGCAGCGGGCTGTGTACATGCAGAGGGCTGTGTACATGCCTTTCAAAGCACAGTCTCATAAAAACACTGCAGACACAGTTACACAGTCACAGTTCTAAGACCTCTGACTGTAAAATTCCAGGACCAAGGCCATGAGGAAAGGCACTTCAGGAATGTCTCAGAGGAACCCAAATAACTCATTTATTTGGGGCATGTACCAAAAATGCATCGGGTGAAGCTAACTGTCCTCACACACTGAAATTGTGTTCTTTTGGGGCTGCAAACTCACAGACCTACCTGGTCCCAACAGGAATGATGTCAAAGTGGCAAATGGAAAACATTTTTCCTGCTTCGAAGTTTTGCAAAACTCCATTTGGACTTACCACGAACCTGCCCTGGGCACTTTTCTGAAATTCTGACAAGTAAAATGTCCTCTAAATATTTTTCCCAGATAAACAGCAAAGGTAGGATCAACCCCCACCCATAATGCGACATAACACTAGATTTCAGTCTGGGATGGGCCCAGCACAAGGCTATAGAAGAGACAGCTGAGGGCCCGCCCCCCTCAGGCTTCCTGCAGCATTAGTGCAACCGAGTTTGTGTTTACAAAAGAATGGGTAGCAGGAGCCTTTTAGTGGAAGATGTTTCCAGTTCAACTTGCCTGAAACGCTAATCTCTTGCTTTACAGCCTCTGTAAATGCGGGTCGGGAGAAAGTAGGAAAGAAAGGTATTGCCATAGTCTGCTGACAGGGGACCCTAGAGGGCAGCACCTGGGGGGTGGGGAGTGACCCCTGGGGTGGTTAAAATAAAGGCGCTTCCTCCCTGGAGCCTTTCCTGACAGGCTCTGCCGTCGCACAACCAGGCAAGCAAACCTGGAGAAGGGGACCTGGGCTCACCTGTGCCTCGGCTCACATTCCCCACAGGAGTTCAAGTTCCTGCAGGGCGGAGGCTGCCTTCTCCTCCTCTCCTGTCTCCCTTCTCACTCCCACTGAACCCAGCTCACGGCACGGCACGGAACTAAACACCTGACAAACCCTGGGGCCCTGAATGGAGTCCCAGCCCGAGCTGCTGACCTGTCCAGGAAAGCCACGCACCTCCCTGGCCTCACCACCCACATACGCAGGATGGGAAGAGATGTCAAGTACAAGCAAACTGCCACGCGACCAGGTGAGGGGTACCTGGTGCCAGCACTGAGATTTGGATAATGATATGCACTTGCTCTCCTAAAAGAGTCATCAACTGTTTTTACTCATATAACCTCAGGACAAGGAAGCCAATAATCTCTTTAATCTCAGTCCTAGTTCCTAGAATGGAGCTAAAACTTTAACAATTGAATTCATTTCATTCTTACCTAAAGGCTAAAAAGAGGACTGGCTTATAAAAACTCAGTGCTTATGGATCTGCAAGGTTTGCGAACAGAGTTATAAATGGGCCTGCCACACGGTACAGTATTACAGGCAAGGCAGTTAATACCGCCCACTCTGTAGCCTCTGTACTTACCTTGTACCTCAACATAGATGGGGTCAGACACGATCTCTTCATTGTTTATGTTCGTCTTACAGAAATACGACCCACTGTCTGAACGCTGCACACTGGTTATGCTTCAAAGAAAACACATGAAGATATTTACAGTCACTACTTTTTGAGCTCCTATTGCAGAAACAGAACATTCTTCAACTTCTATGTCACATACCATGACGTTAAGCTTACATAGCAACATGGCTAGGTCATGGGGCCCAGGTTTTTGGTCCAATAAGACTTGAGATGTTTCTGGGAAGGCAGTTTTTCTATGAGATTGAATTTAAATCAGCAGACTCCAACTAAAGCAGATGACCATCCATAACGGAGGTGGGCCTCATCCAGTCAGCTGCAGGCCTATGAGCAAAGACTAAGGTCCTCTGAGGAAGACAAATTCCTCCTCCAAGCTGCCTTGGGACCCAAGACCACAATAGCGATGCTTCCCTGGGCATCCAGTCAACATTGTGCAGATTTTAGATTTGCCAGCATCCACAATCACGTTGGCTGATTCTTGACAACAAATTACTCTAATCCGTATGCCGTTACTTGTCTTGGCTTCTATGGTAGCCTCTGTTCTGGAGTGCTGGCCACTCAAGGCATATTTGCAAATCTGAAGGGTTGTTTGGGTGATCACTATGGCTTCTAGGGGCCAGGCACAACTGTTCCATACCCCAAATGACCCTCTGAGACCAGAATACACTCCATTATCAGTACACATACAGTATCTTGCCTGGTTTTAACATCTACCTCGTTTCTCAAAACAGCAATTACCATTAAAAGGGTGGGGGGTGAGGGGGCGGGGCAGCACTGGCCCTTTGGACTGTTTGGACTCTGCAGGGGCTAGGTCACCATTTGGAAAAGGGATCACTGGCACCATAAGGCTGAGTTTGCAACGGCCATGTGAGGGAGGATATGGAGGTGGGCGGCAAGATATAAATCTCTGCATACCTGGTGTGGTCACGCCCCACATTAACAAGTTCACATTCATATTCTTTTATTATAAATCACCTTTGTTTTGTTTTTCTTATATTACAGCGTGGACACAATGTTATAACATATCTGATAGTAAAAAGTGGCCCTGGCTTTAAGAGGCTGAGAATCCTGCTTTCCACCCTTCCAGCATGTTTACAAACAGGAATTACACAAAATATGTGAAACCTATACTTAGCCAGGGGTGGGAAGGGTGAGGGGAGGAGGGACACTGTGAAATGCTCCCAGACTGTCTCCCACAGAGGGTGCCTCTGCTGGCCCAAAGACACCTATCCACCTGCTCATCTTGGACGTGGCAAAGGCTGTGGTTGAGGGAGAAAAGGAGAAAAGGAAAACACAGAGGGGTCCACCTACCTAGCAGTTTGCACCCAATGGGGCTTATTTATCCAAAGCAAAATAAAACCTATCCTTCACTCAGTCAAGGGCTGAGGCTTATGGCTCAAAAGAGAAGAGGGAGCTGGCAAGGTGGGGGGGGGGACCCCCCAACCTTGGCAATGACTGGTAGCTGATAGAGGGTAACACAACGCCATCAAGGCAGTGAGATCTCCAGGCCTTGAGGAGCCACAGCTGCCTTAGGTCAAACACACGGTTTTCAGAACACATACTGGACATTTTAAATATAACTTCTCTCTAACAACATCATCTTGCAAATCTCTATTAGCCTATGCTAAACACAGCAACTAAATTCCACGTCAAGTGTGGTGTCAGTCAGAAGTAGGGAACCAGGCTGCTTGGGTTAACATCACCTCCATATTGCTACCAGGAGCCAGGAGTGTGACCGTCACCTGTCATCTGCATTTCCTGATGTGCCAACATGAGTGGCGCCCCCTGACTTAGGATTCTCTGACTTCCCCTTTCCCTTCATTGCTGTGTAAGAGAAAATTAATTCCTGAACGCACCTGATGAATGAACACTGGCTGTGGAGAAGACCCAGAGTGAAGGAAAGACCAGATCCCTTCATGCTTTAGGGCAGGAGCTGAGTGCCACAATGTCTAGAGGTCACCAGGAAAACAGGGAAAGACAGAAAGAGACCTCAAGGGACAAGTATTTCCACCAAAGAGGGCTGGCCCTCCCCTGGTACCTCCCTGAATGTCATGGTGACTGGAAGGAGCTGACAGAAGAGGGAGAGAAACGTGTCTGGGGTGGTGTCCTGCCCATCGTGAGTAAGGCAAAGGGGCTGAATGGTGCACCCTGGTTTCAGCAGCTTCTAAAAACTCTGTCCAGCTGACTGGTCAGTCTAGTCTTCTTCACATTTCCAAGGGAAACCAAGAATCATAGCTACTGCAGAGGGAGTCCTTGCCATATGGTTCACAAGTTCACTTTAGAGGGGTGTCACTTTTTTCAGGCAAGGCCCGGGAATCCATGGAGTGGAGGACAAGATCTGACAGGCTGAGGACACCCGTGCCCCTGGGACCCCGGCGTGGCAGCAGGCTTATCAGATGACACAAAGAGCCAGCAACCAGCGAAAAAGTGATAGACAGAGGGGGATGCAGCGCAGGGCCCCAGAAAGGCACCTGAGGGGGCGCAGAGCACACCCAAGTAACCGTCGGGCACAAATCACAGGAAAGCAGCACACCTTGGGCCGCAGAAGCCACGCTGCACGGAAAGCCCAGGAGGACCTCCAGCCAACCAGCGAGGAAAATTCAGGCCAGGACTAGAAAGCGGGGCAAAAGGAATGTGATCAAACTCTGTCTTCAGTCCTTTGTGGGTGAAAAAAGGGGTTCTAGGGAAAGTAACTCTACAGGATGACCTGAATCTAAATGCCTAACAGGCAGGTCATGGGGGGCAGTCACACGCCAGGCATATAACTTTTAGTAGAAGGTTTATCTTTGCCTTCACAGAGCACTGTCCATTGCCTCCGTGCATCTCGGGTTAACGCACCTTAGAAATAAGGTATTAACCACCCTCAAGAGAGCACAAAATCTTGTTTACTATCCTGTAATCTGACCCCCCACTTTGATTTCTCTGGCCTTCATGGAATCCTCCCTCTGTTCCCTCCTTAATCTCAAATGCCTAAAAGAAGCTGTAAAACTGTTATTCTTGGGAGCATTTGAGATCTTGCTCCAGAGTTTATGTCACCAGTTTGCCTCAAATAAATTCTTATAAAAATCCTCAAGAGTTCCAGTCAAGATGGCCAGCATAGGTAAATGCGGTACTCAAATCCTCCCACAACCAAAATTACAGAACACTCATCATTCAGACCACCTGAAATCTAGCTGAACAGAAGTCCTACAACTAAGGCTATAAAAAAGAAGCCACAGGGAGACAGGTACGAGGGGCAGAGACATGAAACGGGCAGGTCCCACAAACACATGTGGCAGACTCAGGAGGGATGTCTCAGATGCAGAAGTGCCCCCCAGCCCCACTCTGAGGCACGAGACGTCCCAGCCCCACCCCAGGCTTGCCAGCCCAGGGGTCCAGTGCCAGGAGGAGAAGTCTCCAGAACTTCTAGATGTAAAGACCAATGAAGATTGTGGCGGAATGAGATAGAGTCCCAAGCTTTCTCCTCTTATTGAGCCTGAGCACGGACTTCTCGCACTCGTGTGCTCTGGTCTCTGTGCTGGGGCAGTAGGGACTATGGGGAAGAACTGAACTGCCTGGTGCTGGTAAGTGGAGGCAGTTTGGTGTCCTCACCCAGGTGTCTGGGTAACTACGCAAAGCAGTTTCTCACAACCTTGAAGGGGTCTGATAAAGTAGTGTTCTCATAGCCTTGAGACGGGGTCTCACAGCCTTGAGTCTGGATCTGATAAACTGTTCCCATAGCCTTGAGTGGGCTCGCATGCGTGGTAGGAAGCTGTTGCATAAGATCTGTTGGCACCCTGCCAGCTTTGTTTGTTTTAGTACTTCAGATGGTAAGGGCTTCTCACTAGGGGGCGCAGACATAGACACAAAGGGGGAATGCAAGGGCCCTTGGGTGCCACGCAGAGGGGACAGGTGACAAGAAGTGTGACATGCAGCTTGCAGCGTATGTGGATCGTCCGCCCTTGAATAAAGTCCCGTCAGACATCTCAATGGCTCTGTGAATATTCTTCTGTGTGCATGAATCCCATGGACCTGTCCAGCCCTGAAGAGTCGCAACACATCTGGCATCAAGGCAACAACTGAGGTAACAGCTTTCTCCCAGACAGAAGTGCTGACAGAGGCCATTTCTGGGCCCTCCTCCACAGATTCATCAGGCAGGTACCAAATATAAGTCTCCTTCAACCTGGCTAACACTGTTCTGACGCCTGGTGATTCCCAGAGACTCCACCACACCCAACTTGGGGCCCACATAAGCCTCTTCCAGCGGCTTTTCCATACCAATGGCCTCTCATGGCTCATGCTTTGGACTTTCCTAAACACTCTCAAACAAGCAGTATCTGGCCTCAGCATACCCCATATCTCTTGCTAAGTGGCCCCAGGCCCAGCGCCAGCGGTACCCAGTGGTAGTGTGCAGCTTGGCTTCTCCTAGGCACCTCCAAGCCCAGCACAAGTAGCAGCCATTTGCAGACAGCTTTGTAGCTTTTGCCAGGTAGGCCGTGGGCAGGGCACAGGCCGTGGCTGACCTTGGTCTGCACCTCTGGGAGGCCTCAGAGCCACTGTACCTGGTGGACAGCCTCAGACCATGCAGGATTACCACTCAACCACCTCCCCAGGTGTCTCACTCAAGGTGGGGATTTGGCAGGCACAAAGTCCCACTGAAGCAAGGCCTGCTCTGCGAGGTTGGCCCCTGCTCAGCAGCTCCTCCGCTGTTGTCCCAGCTGGTCCTCACAGCCAATCGGCCTGGTGGTGAATCCCCAGCAGTGATATGCCAATAGTAATCAAGACTCAACTACAAAGAAGGGTGCACACAGCCCCTGGATGGGGGAGGGGCACACCTGGAGCCCCTGGCTCAAGTTACTGTGGAGGCGGTGCCACTGGGCCCTACAGGACACCTATTGCATAAGGCCACTCTACCAAAACCAGGAGATGTACTAGCTCTACCCTGTACACAGAAACAAACACAGGGAAGCAGCCAAAATGAGGAGACAAAGAAACATGCCCTGAATAAAAGAACAGGAGAAATCTCCAGAAAAAGACCTAAATGAAATGGAGGCAAACAAACTAACAGATACAGAGTTCAAAACAATGATTATAAGGATGTTCAAGGAACATAATGAGAACTTCAACAGCATAAAAAATGGACATGGAAAACCATAAAAAAGAACCAGTCAGAAATTAAGAATACACTAACTAAAATGAAGAATACATTATAGGGAACCAACAGTAGAGTAGATGAAACAGAGGACAAAATCAGCACTTTGGAAGATAAGGAAGCAGGAAACACCCAATCAGAACAGCAAACACAAAAAAGAATCCAAAAAAAATGAAGATAGTATAAGAAGCCTCTGGCACAGCCTCAAGCATATCAACATTCACATCACAGGGGGACCAGAAGGGGCAGAGAGAGAGCAAGGAATTGAAAACCTATTTGAAAAAAATAATGCCAGAAAACTTCCCTAACCTGGTGAAGGAAATAGACATACAAATCCAGGAAGCATAGGGAGTCCCAAACAAGAGAACTCAAAGAGGTCCACACCAAGACACACCATAATTAAAATGCAAAAGGTTGAAGACAAAGAGACAATCTTAAAAGCTGTGAGACAAAAGCAGTTAGTTACCTACAAGGGATTTCCCAAAAGACTGTCAGCTAATTTTTGAAGAGAAACTTTGCAGGCCAAAGGGGATTGACTTGAAATATTCAAAGTGATGAAAAGCAAGTACCTATAACCAAGATTACTCTACAAAGCAAAGCTATCATTTAGAATCAAAAGACAGATAAAGAGCCTCCCAAACAAGAAAAAGCTAAAGGAGTAAAGCAGTTCATCACCGGCAAACCAGTATTACAAGAACCGTTAAAGGGTCTTTTTAAAGAAGTAAACGAGAGATTTAAATATGTGTAATGAAATGGCAATAAATACATATCTATCAATAATCATTGTACTTTAAATGCAAATGGATTAAAGGCTCCAATCAAAAGACATACAGTGAATTAAAGGATAACAAGAGCCTTACTTCAGATTAAAAGACACAGAGGGACTGAAAGGGGTGAAAAAGATACTTCATGAAAATGAAACAAACAAAAAGGTGGAGTTGCAATACTTATACCAGACAAAAATATAGAATTTAAAACAAAGGCTATTATCACAAGGAAGAAGGACCTCGCAATTCCACTTCGTCATATTTAATCTGAAGAAACCCAAAACACTAACTCAAAAAGACATGTACATCCACATGTTCATTACAGCATTATTTACAAGTAGCAAAGCTATGAAAGCAACCTAAGTGTCATCAATAGATGAATGGATAAAGAAATGGTGCGTGTATACAACAGATTATGCCTCAGCCATGAAAAAGAATGAAATCTTGCCATCTGCAACAATATAGATGAACTTAGAGGGTACTGTGCTGAGGGAAATAAGTCAACCAGGGAAATACAAATACCATATAATTTAACTTGTATGTAGAATCTTATCGAAAATAAATGAACAAGTAGAACAAGAACACACTCATGGAAACAGTGATCATTTTGGTGGTTGTCAAATGGGAGGGGGCTGATGGGGACAGGTGAAAAAGGTGAAGGCATTAAAGAGCTCAAATTGGTAGTTACAGAATAGTCACAGGGATGTAATGTACAGGATAAGGAATACAGTCTATAATATTATAATAGTTATATTATTATAACTATGTATGGTGTCATATGGGTACTAGATTTATCAGGGTGACCATTTAGTTATGTAATGTCTGGTCACTGGGTTACCTGAACCTAATGTACTACTGAGTATCAGCTGTAATTAAAAAATAAAAAACTACTTAAAGCAAAAGAAAATTCTCTACGGGTTTGGATAGTTCTTATGTTGACACATTCATGTCAGGAAGAACTTAGCAGTGAAAGAAGGACTGTGTGCTGACATTAATTAGCAAGTCCACGTCCATCATACCTATAGCACAGGACAGGTTTTTCAAGAAGAACTCTGAGTGTTATTTCTACACATCCAAGGAAAAGCGCCCACGCTGAAGGCAGGGTAGGGTGGGCTGCAGCCAAGGAGGAGTGGCGTCCCCGAGGCCCTCTCCGTCCCCGGGGGAAACGGCAGGCAGTCTCCATGCAGGGTCAACAGGAAAGGCTCTGGGCTCAGAATAGCAATGGGGGTGTTCCAACACCGAGGAACTGTTTCCAGAGAGAACACAGAAGGCGGGAGCATGATTCGAGAAAATGCCCAGTCCTGAAAATACGGGGCTGCCCTCCCGCAGGCCCCTCGGTGGGCAGCACAGTGGCAGAGAAAAGGCCCACTCAGGGGCTTCACCAGGCAATGTCACAAGCCCAAGGCAAAGTAGAGATACCAAAGCTTCCAGAGGAAAGAGAGGCAGGGCATTCACCTGTGAATCAAAGTAGCAAGAACAAATCTGAGAGTAAAAAAGAAGAATACTGATGACTTCCAAGTGACAACAGGAAATTTTTTTCTGTTTGAATTCTGTAACATGCCAAACTGCCTCAAGGTGAGGCTAAAAAACAAAATGGCATTTTCAGAGATGCAAGTCCCGGCACACGAGTGAGGATGGGCTTAATGCCAAGTGAGGGAGTGAAAGCCAAGAAGGGGCCTGGCTCCTGGGAGCACTTAGTTGGGAGTCAGAAGGATTGAAGGTCCCGATGACAAGACGAGCACAGAGATGGCTCTGTTGGACCCTCGAGCAGGTGAGGAACTGGCTCTAGGACAGGCGTTGCCAATAATTTTGATCACTTTGAGGATAAATGCCTATTATCCTGATCATTTTGTCACTTGGAGGAGAAATGCCTATTATCCTGTAGAGTTTAGAGAAGAATGTATGACTAATGCTTGGAAAATTAAACAAAATAGCAAGCAAGGAAACAATATTTACTTCAGGAAAATAAAAACGCTACGAAATAAATGTGATTACCATTTATGACATGATTCAGCTCAAAACAACATTTTACACAGCCCCGGTGATGTGAGGCATGGGTGCTGAGCCGCCACAGCTGTGAATAACACTCCATCAGCTGAGTACACACACTGGGGCCTGGCACACACACACTCAACCGAAGCACGGAATCTCTGGAAAGACACCCAAGAAATGGGTGACCTCAGCTCCCCATGGGCAAAGAGTTGAGGGTTGACGTGGGAGAGAGAGCTTTTGAGGAGTTAAAATATTCTACTACATGAATGCACTGCTTTCAAAGAAGTATAAAAATCCCGTAAGATTTTGGCCAAGTACAAATATCTGAACCAGGTGGAACCATAGGACCCACAGAGATTAACCATGGCGTCTACACAGGAATCACCTGGACAGACCACAGGGCCGGCAGTTGCAGAGCCTGTCCCACCATGGCGGCCTCGCCTAGACTGGCTCCGGAATGTCCTAAAGGGACAAACAGTGCCTCTCTGTCCCTAAGACCCCAGGACCTGGGCTAGACGGCTCAGAAATGGCTTTTATGTAGCAGGTAAGCTCTAAAGCCTTCTTAAAAGAAATATAAGAAGGGCAAATATTGTACCTTTTCACTTATATGAGGTCCCTAGAGTAGAGATATTCAAAGAAAATGAATATAGAATAGAGGTTACCAGGAGCTCGGGGAGGGGGGTGGGGAGTTAGTGCTTCATGGGCACGGAGTCTCTGTCTGGCAGAACAGAAGTGTTCTGCAGACGACGGTGGTGCCGGCTGCACCACATGTGGATGTGCTTAATGCCAATGAACTGAACACTCAAATGGTGAAGTTTACTCACGTACATGTTACCATTATAAAAAAAGAAATGAAAAAAAATTTTAAAAGAAACATGAAGATGCACTAATAGACATCCTGTCTACCTGTCACAGATCAAATGGTGCTGGTGGCAGGCCACGGGTCACCTGCGTGCAAAGTCTCATGTAAACTGTGCTGAAAGAAAGTCTTCTGTGTACGAAGCAAGTTACAGAGCATCAGTGGTAACTCACACTGACTGCGGCTACTGCTAACTCTTCCAGCAGGTGGTTTGACCTAAGAAATTACATCCCTGTTTTATACAGATGTTTTGCCGCTTTGTCATGTATGATTCCATCTGGGGGCCACCAGAAGCAGCAGGCGTCAGACCACAGGGCAGCTGTGGGCATGGGGGTGTCAAACACCAGCCACTCAGGGTGCAAGAGACCCACAGGGATACCAACTGACCACTTCACATCTTCACAGAGAAAATCAACTAAAAAAGCCAACATCCTCCCAGCTTTAGTAATGGGAACCATCAAAAGGCCCTCGACTAAACAGAAAACAAGCCACAGAAATGTTCCTTTTGCCAAGAATCACTGATCACCAGGTCTGCAGGGCCTACCAGCCCCAGGAGCACCAGCTCCCATTTTGCTGAGAGCTGCCTCCCAGTCCCATGGCCAGTGACCCCTGGGATGCTTCGCCTGGGGGGAGCGTTCCCAGCTCAGCTCGAGTGCTTCACTCTCACACCAGGCCTGAGAGCTCGTTGTATTCCAGCGGGGCTACAACCAGCTGAAAAGAGGTCCACCCCACAGACGATCCAATACTGATCTACACTCTGAATGGACCTGCGGAGCTGCAAACGCAGAAAACAGAAGGCTGTCTTGTATTGAGGAGGCCTTTGTTTTTGAACCGTCAACCGCGTAACACCGAGAGGAGAAACACATACCTGAAGGACGCAATCACTGCTGTAACTTCATCATCTGGATAAAAGTGAGTAACTGCATGATGTGCCCCAAGCAGTTCCTTCCCATCTTTCCACCAAGAAATATGGGCGTCCTGGTACGTGTTAGGTATACTGATTGAGCAATTAAACTTGACGTCTTTGTGTTCAGAAAGTATTATGTGGCTAACTGTGCGATCAAACACAAGAGGTGGTATGAGCTTGGAGCTGGCCGAGGTCACGCTGGGAATGGCTGCACTTCCTGTGTGGGGTCTTCCAGGCAGGACTGGTGACAACACCATAAAAGGCTGGGCCCCAGGGGTAGGAGGAAAGGCGGACGGCACAAGGTCAGCCAGGTCTCCTGGGAATGGCAGGCTGGGCACGGATTCTTTCCTCTCCTCAGCCAGAGCTGCAAAACAGAACAGTGACTTTTAGCCTTGTAAATACTGAAGTTTTCCAAGTAAGTTCTCCACTTAAGAGGTCACGATGAGGGGGAAGTGAGGCACCCTCACTGACCTAGGAACACAAGCATAGGAGGTTCAGAGACAGAAAGTGAACATGGGTATAAATACATCCTGAGCACGGGACAAGGAAAGGGGTCTTGGGGGCTTCACAAGGACCTTTGCAGAACGATAAGAAGAGCATGTTTGGTAAATGGAAGTTTGTCCTTCCCTACAGACAAGTTAAAAGAGGTTATGGCTGATAATCTCTTACTATGGACTAGGCCTCTAAGACAAGTTTGTCTAGGTAGTAAAGAGAGGAGCACAGTTTCCCTTGAGCCTAGAGGAGGCTACAACTGTCCTTAGCCCAAAATAATCCACATACCACAGAGGCACATTCTGGGGTAACTTGTTCTGAACCATACACCCCATCAAAAACATTTTTTGTGTGTTTTATTCCAAGCCCTCCTGTTGCCAGTAGAAATAGGGTTCTTCCATGGAGTTGCAAGAAAAGCATTTCAGGGACCCATGAATGGGAGGATGGGGCGTAGTGGTAAGATTTGTTTGAGCTGGCTAGCTTATTTTGTTCCCAGCTGCGTTCCAGCCGGCGCTGGGGCCACATGGCTGCAATGGGCCGCATGGCTGCAGTAGACCCGCGCTTGGAGCATGTAGCTGCTACAGAGAGAATGTGGCAAATGGGTGAACGAACGGGCCAATGCGTGCTACCGAGAGGGTCCTTTGTTAAGCTTTGATTATATTTCCTTGGGCTTGGGAAGGGATAAAGCTTTCTTTCAAACGAACCAACCTCATTCCTGGCTCTTCCCCCACTTCTCCTGTGTCGTCCTCTCCCATCCAATCTCTTTCCTAGATCTTCCAGGTGGGGGGAGGGGGATTTCATGCCCTCATCCAATCTGATTCTTTTCACAGATTAGACACCTCCCCTTTATGGTGACCATCTTTGCGTCTCGTGTGCATGCTCCTAGGTAGAGACTGGAAAGCTGGTCCTTCCTCCCTACAATGAGGGTGTTGGGGGGCAGGGGTAGAGGGATGCCAATCCCCTTGGTGGGGAGGCAGTCATCCCCCAGGGTGCCTGAAGTTGTAACCTCCAGACTGAATCAGGCCCCAACAGTCTAGCTTTCTCTTTGACGGACTCTTAGCTGCCTCTGCCAACACTTCATAGCCAACTCAAGAGTATGGCAGGAAGGTGATGGCACCTGAGATCACTTTCTATCTGCCCATGCATAAGACTGTGCCTCAAATCTGGCCAACAGCCTTGGAAGGCTTCCACTGGTTACAAAGAGACCCATTCCGAGGAGTGTGTGTGTTGCGGGGGGTGGTGGTTCAAAGTGTGCTCACACAGAATGACTTGGAGCTTCTAGCAAAATGCCTGCCAGCTGGAATGGACCCAGAAGAGTTTCCATTTCATCTGGCTCTTAAGTATTTCTAAAAATATAGGCTTATAATAGTTGTACTTTTAGTTGTCTTAATGGCCTTTTTGGAATATACGTTTTATGCTGGTTGCTATGTATTCAAACACATTGACCACAATTCTGGTCAAACAGGCAGGTAGGAGAGGCATAGGCTTGGCGTTCTGCAGGTAATGCCTGGGGTACTCCAGGGCCCTGAACAAGCCTCCTGTCATGTTCAAGATGTCACACCCTTCTGGGCTCCTGAGTGTGTGTGTGCAGAGTCGGGTGGTCTCTGCTGAGGGTTGTGCCAGATTTAGTAAGCATGCACAATGCCAGACTTGACTTTGGGATATGAACACAACACAATATACAGATGACGTATTATAGAAGTGTATACTTGAAACCTATATAATTTTATTAACAGGGATCACCCTAATAAATTCTATAAAAAATTTTTAAAAAAATTAAAAAAAAAAAAGAATGTGCAATGCCCACATAAACTTGAATTTCAGATCAATGGCAAATAATTTTTAGCATAAGTATCCAGCTAAGCACTTATTTCATTAATTGAGGTACAAGCAGGAGATCTGGGGTCAGAAGGAGGGACCTGAGAATGTATTCCTCCAGCCTCCTCCCTGCCAAGTCACTCTGAACTGCAAACACGCCTCAGCTGAAGGCCAGTTCTAGTCACTGAGTCCTGTCCGCATGGCTCTCTCTTCTATCAGGTCCACTCCCACGGCTGCTGCATTTGGGAACATCTTGGGGTAAAGGTCAGGGTAAAGGAGAAGAGATTTCACTGGAAGTAACCAGGGAAAACTCACTGCTAAGGTCTCCGTGGCTGTGGGGTGCAGGGCCCTCTGCACACTTGGCAGAGGGCTACATGGGACAGCCCTGACCAGTCATGCAGACAGAGGACTGTGCTGGGGCTGTGGTGTCCATCTGCTCCAGGGACAGGAGGTCAGGGTGACTCAACTCACCAGGCAAGCCTGACACGTGAGTGTGGGCCTGTGCTTTCAGTAGGGGGAGGAGAAGCCCAGTGCCTGGGTCCCCTCCAGCCCCTGCCTTCCTCTGGTTTGAGGCGCTTTCTGCAGTAACAAAGGCTCTAGCTGTTTACCTATACGTTATGCACACTCTTCTTCAGGCTTCGAAGCCCTCCCGGCCCACCTCTGCCTCTTGCATTGGCAAACTTACATCCAGTCCCTCCAACTCACTGAGCTCCAGAGAGCCAGGTTTTGCCCAAATCGCTACTTTTTTCTCTTTAACTATATGAAACTTTCATAGAAGGCATTAAGTAGAGGAAAGCAAACATTACTTTCTTTGATTTGTTCCATTTACCTTTTAAAAACATTTGATCTAATTACAAGCGCACACAGTCTGTTGTAAAGAATTCAAATATTTATAGAAGCATAGAAAATATAAAATAGAAACCTGTCCTGTAACCCCAACCCTGTAATTTAACCTCTGATTACAGTTTGGGGTATAACTTTCGTTTTTACGAGCTGAGCCAACTGAACAAACTGATGGCAAAGTCCCCATGCAGATGATGTCACTGAGGTTGGGAAGCAGCCAGACCCACCCTGTAATCACTATGGATGGCTGAAAAGATAACTGGTCTCCATGATCTGATCTGCCAAAAGTCACCATAATGACTTAATTGCCAACAAATATTTATATAGAACCTCCTGCGACGCAGAGTTGCTGTGACAGTCTAGCAGGGTCGTGAAGGCACCCGCCCAGGCGAGATGAGCAGAGGGTCCCAGGATTAAGCAAGAAACAACACGGCTAACTGGGGGTGGGGGTAGGACTTCCCTGATTCCTCCCCACCCCAGACTGGTCAGCCGCCCCCCGTCTGTGGGTGCTGGGCCCACCCTGTAGTAACATTTTGATACGTGATCACTCATTCACTTCCTTCTCCCTGCTGGGCCTGCTGAGGGCCCCATGGGCCCTCTCACGCACACCACAGCCAGCTCACACAGGCGCTCAAGCAGGTGTGTTGAGTGAGTAAAGACAAAACTAGGGAGGCGAAGGGGGATGCACAGGTTTCCAGGGACAGAGGTGTCAGGAAAATGCAGAGAAAGAAAAGGTCTTAATAGTCTGGCAATACCAATTTAGCTGTCAAGCGGTGCTACTGTGAGCCCTGAATCCTGGGAAGCAGCAGCAGGGTTTCTGAAGGTATCTGCACGGAGGAGGGGAGGGGGCTGTGCTGGACCAGAGCACCAGGTAGGAGGAGGCCTGGAAGCGGGGAAACCCGCCAGGAAGATACTGAAGAACTAACTTCAGGAGCGGCCAAAGAGGGCAAAAGACACAGGCAACAGAAGAGGCTGACCACATCAGCATTCTCTCCATTTCACACAAGAAAGTCAGTCTGACCCAAATATTGAGGAGGGACATAGTCTCAAGGCACAGGGCAGTCCTCAGCAGCGGTCACTTGGCAACTTCATCCTGCCTTGCTGCTTGAAGAATGCAGGCATGAGGCTGTTTCAGATCCAGCCTCCTCATGGTGAAAATGGGGATGAAATACCAGTGCTGCCCAGGACTGCCGTTAGAAATAAAAGTACTGCTACGTTTGGGTCGCAGTAAGCACTTGGTCAATCTTAGCTATTGTTTGTACTATTTTCTCACTTTATTATGAATCAGTGAAAACCTGCCACGGTGCAGTCCTTGAGAACCGCTGATTTGTAGGGTTGGGGCTGAGGTCCACAGGGTTGGGGAGGTTCACACTGGAGTGTCGCGTGGTGGGGGGGGGGGTGTCGTCATTCAGGTGGTGGCCTGCATGAATGGTGCTTGAGAGCTGAATGAGTGTGGATCGTGTACAGAAAGGAAAAAAGAAAGTCATTCCCAAGCTTTGGACTCAAGGTTGATTAGGAATTTCATCTTAAGCTGCCAATTTTTCACTTTTCCTACTACTTCAATCGTATGATGCCCTCCCCGCCCCTTTGTTTTTCCCTCCCAGAAGTGCGTTACTTTAACATTACTTTGGGGGAAGTCACATCAAAAATTTAAAAACTTTCCATGTTCATTATTAATTGTTCTCATTAACTTATCTTCAAGGTCACAACAGTGAATCTGGTAGGTCCCTACGACAGTCGCCATTGTGGAGACAACGATTAGCCAGTGTGTGAGACGTATAAACACCCACAGACACTTCATGAGAATATACGCTCCTTTCAGTAAAGCACCTCCTTTCAAGGTTATGTCCTTGTGTGCTTGGGCTAGTGGCTAAAGTGAGAAGTTTAACCTTATTAGCAACCTTGGATAGGTGGTCCCCCGCCCAGGTCCAGGAGAAGCTGTCCAGGTGTTCCAGCAGCTGAAGGCCAACTCCAGGGGGCCACAGCCATCCAGTCCCGGGGTGACGTGATGACGCTCCCCTGCCATGTACCCACAATCTCCAATCACCACAAAGCCCTTGACCAGATTTCAATGTCTGCTTCTTAAACACATATTGTGTCTCCATCAAATTCCTTCCCTGCCCGGCACAGGAAAGGCCCATGGGGTGTGAGTAGCACGTTTATTCATCCAACAAAGAAAACTGTTAGATATACTACCCATTGATTCACGTG